GTTGCAGGTCGTAATCGGCTAAATGTGAAAAGGTTATTTTTTTTTTAAATGCATAGCAGTTTGTCATAATTCTGTTCTATTCTGTTCTATTTTATACATTCCAAGGAAAGTGCTTAATTAGCTAAGATTTGTTTATGGATTTATTATTATTTATTACAAACACACAGGCATATTGCAATGACAATTGCAATTGCAAGGCATCAAAGTAAACATTCCTGTGATAAAATAACATCGATTTAAATCAGTCATATTTGGATAAGTAATTTTCTGATAAGTTTCTGTGGCAGCCAATAGTTTAATTTTGTGAAGATTTGTCATTAAATAGTGGAAATAGTTTAAATAGTGAAGCAGTTGATTTTTGAGTTAATCTACCAGTTCCGGTATCCAGATGAAATCGTGTTAATGGAGTTTAGTTAAAAAACAAGATACCGAATGTAAGTTTACCTTCTTTTTTATGAATAACAAAAATGAATATTATATTTAAAACAATCCATAATCCCATTCAGAATCTGATTCTTTAAAATCAATGATTACACTAGATATGTGGCTGGTATCAATTATATCTTACATTTCAAGAAAATGTCGTGGTTCTAAAAAGAACCGTTTTAATACATATAAATATCCATAACGGTATTAGTTTAAGATAATTTCTCAATATCATTCCGGAATTCACAATCTGATTCGCGAACGACAGAAACTGATAATAAAAATAACTGAGCCACTTTTTCTAATTGAAACTAATTTAATAATTTTAATATTAGTCTTTGTTCATTCTCGGTATATCTCGGAATATTTAAAATATTTTTATGACAATAAATACAAAATTTAATTTTCACTGTAGGTAAAATGTCTGAAAATACTAACCTGGAACGGAATTATCATTTTATCAGTTGAAATTGTGAAAGTACTGTCACTGTCATTATCAAGATCATCTGTGTCAAATTATATTTATATGCATAATTGATTGGATATCTATTTAGCGTATTCTAAACTCCAACCAATTATACGTTCGTAAGTAGACTTCGCTTTAATATGCGAATACCCGTGACCGATACCTAATTTTCTAGGTTCTATGTATAATAATCAGTGACTCACGTTTTTTTCTGTCACTTCTAGCTTAATGCGTTAGAGAGAATTCGAACAACTATGACGGACTGAAAGAAGGGTTTGGGACGGACTGTATGTCAACAATCGATAGCCGTTTGCGTCCTCATCACAAATTAACCATTCGTTTATGTCATCTTTAGGCAACGAAAACAAAACAGTTAATTATGTCATAACTTCATTTGTTACCGCATCATGCTCGGCTGTCACGGGGTATTTTTATCTTGAGTTGATTCAGGTCATAATTTATTCCACGCTCTTTTAAGCGTTTCTTCCGAAACATCAGCCCAAGCATCCACAGCATTGTCGACTGCGCGTTTTAAATTGTATGCTTTCCAGTATTTTGACAAAGAATATTCCTCTTCCATAACTAGGTTTTGAATAAATGTTTTTCTGTATCTTCTTTTAAATGTTTTAATGATCGATTGATCTATTGGCTATATCAATGATGTAGTATTCGCAAGCAGAACAGAGCACGTAATATTTTCATGGTCACTTCGCAGTATACCAGCTTCAAGATTGGCAGGTGTATTGTTCAAAAATGAGAATCGTTTATGGTGGCAAACTTTTTGCTTGCAAGTATTGTCGAACGTCTGGTATAAAATCTTAAAAAAACAAGATGTCAGAAAAACAGATACACAAATTTTGGTTTGCAGTACAAAACATTTCTTGGGACATCCATGCATTATGTTGTGCATAGTAGTTAATGGAAAGCGCGTTCATATTTATGTCCTTGAAATAACGTGCTTTTTTTGCTGTACCAATCAATAATATAGGAAGGCGATGGTCACCACGTATTTGAATATATCATTGCTGTGATTCGTTGCTTTTGCGTTTTAAATCTTGGTTTATATTTTTCAGACAATGCAGCGAGTGTTTTAGTTGGCAATGGTTTGTAGTTTAAACCAGTTTTATCCACATTAAACACTTGATCGTTTGTCAGACCATATTCATCGATCATATCTTGAAACTTTCTTTTATATTCGCCAACGATTATCAATACTTACAGCGCTTATTTTTTCACCTTAGATTTTCAGTTCCCATATACCGTGGCGATTTTTGAACTTTTCCAATCAACCGCTGCTTCCTTTGAAAGAAGGATCTTCATTCAATTTCATGTTGAAAAACGACGCTTTTTCGGCAACAATTACTCCAGACAAATGAACCCCTTCGCTTCTTTTTTGAACGAACCACAAATACAGTGTCGTGTCGTGCCGTTTTGAGTGATTCATTAGTGGCTTTTTTTCATTGTCCAACTATGTTTCATCCGGCCATCCAACGATTCCATTTGCGAAGCATACTTTTCAATTTCATCAGTATTTTTCTTTAAATCATTGATTGTTGTTCTCGGAACATCATACTTTTTGCTCAGTGCAACTAAGTGACACAATCAATGTTCGAATTTGAATCAAACTGAATTCTGTTGATACACAGATATTGACTGTAATAATGATTGTGTTCTGCGTTTTTACTTTTGGTATGCATGGTATCATTTATCATTAAATATTTAAAGTAAAATTTAATCCAGAGCCATGAATAAGAACAATAATTATTTACATAAGAAAAGCGGTGGTGGCATAACTTCACATGTACATATCAACAAATTTCGTTTGGCTCGAAATGAATTAATGACTAAATTTTTACTTATGTTGTCAATATAACTTATGTATGGACCCTTACGGTTAACAGACGTGACGGTTAATAGATGGACGAATAATCAAGGTTCCACTGTAGTCATATTCAAAGTGCTATGAAAACACTTAATGAAATTAAATGAACTAAGCAAATGAAATTTCAGTAGCCTCTTTTTAGATTCCAGGATATAGCGACGTTAAGATAATTGAATTAGATAGAAAAATCTGATTTTACCTAATATAAGGCTTCTAGATATACTAAAACATCTAGAAAGGATGGTACCATATGGATTCATACATGGGCTTTAATCACTCAAAAACCACCAGAGAAAAAACATAATAGATTTTCTAGATCGAATTGTGATTTCTACCCTAAAAGTACACTCATGGACAAAATATCGAATATTTTGGAACCTCCAAATTTTTGTTTTTAGAAAATAAATTCTGGTCAATCAAGTCGTTTATTGAAAAAAAAGTTTATTTTAACAATGTTTAATGAACAATTTTAAGTTTTTATGCGAAGAAAATTGAGAAAATAATAATGCTTAATATTAGGTAAATAAGATTATTTTACTCTAAACTTAAATGCTAATTTAAATTGCTTAAACAAAAATTTCTAATTTAAACAAGTGCATGATCAGTAACGAGTAAGGAGTATTTCCCTCTAGCTTTTATTACTGCTTGTGTCCTTCTCGGCATACTGGCAAGTAAATTTTGGACATATCCCTATGAAATTGCATTCCATTCATCCTGTGCAGCAAACCGAAGTTGCTCTATCGTATTTGGAACAGGATTTCTTTGCCATATGCAATATTTTAGCTGGTCCCACATGTGCTCTATTGGATTTAAATCTAGACTAAGTGGTGGCTAATCCAATTTTCAAATTTGGACCTCATCCAGATAATTACTTATTATGGCCGTTGCATGTGGTCGAACATTATCGTGCATTAACATGAATTTATCATATCCAATGTAACCAACATATGGCAAAACATGATCTTGCAGGATTTTTTGAACGTAAGAGTTACCCGTCATCCGTCCAATCACTTCCACATGTGCGGTACGTCCCTCCCAACTAATACCTTCCCAAAGCATTATGCCACCATCTCCAAAACTAACGGTCTGGGCAAGATTACAGGTGGCGAATTATTCCATAACTGTTTTTTCATTTATCATTCATTGAAAAGAGCGTTTTCTAGTTATCGATATTACACTGAATATTTATTTTTGCAAATTCTAAACGACGAGCTTTATGATTTTGAAGAAGACGTAAAACTTGGACAGGGCATCTAAGCTTTTAGTTTTATTCTTCTAATCTTTATGTAACGGTTTCTGAACTCAGGTTAACTTGTATAACATTTAGTAGCTCATTTCTGAGGTGCATCGATGTCAATGAGCAATTTCGAGAATTAAAAACCAAAAAACGATCATCAATTGCGAATGTACACCCTGGGCTTCCTTGACTAGGCCTTCGTACAAATTTCCCTGTTTCGTGGTACCTGTTTAAAGTATTCGAAACTACAGATTGGCTTCTTCAGAGATGTCGTGCGATATCATTTCGTATATATCCTTCCTCGTACAAAATTACAATCTGTGCAGCTTGGGCTTCATCGTAGTGGCGAATTGGTGGCACACTTGTTGTAACCTTAGTTAAATCAAAACAATGTTTAATTAAACTTTATAAATTAAACTAAAAATAACCGAATTAGTATGATTTTTCCCTTAAGTTTTTTATGATAAAATGTAAGAATTACACTAAACGCTGAATAAACGTCATAATAAACCAAGAATATTATAAACCAGTTTAGTTCATCAGCCTACTATATAAGTAACATCAGTAATCTAAAATGATTTTGAAATAATAGTGACTTAAAAAAAATTGGAAAACTAAAATATTTGATATTTTTGTCCATGAGTGTAGTAACAGTAATGTTTTATATATGGTGGTGTAATACGGTCTTATGTTTGACCCACTGTACTTTCCGAATCATCCTTGTTTAGTATTTATACCTATTATCTTCAGGTTAACTATTAAGTACACTACTTAACATACTATTTATTATATACCTTTACTAATTTTCAATCAATAAAAATCTACATAGTTCCAACATAACTTTCGCATATTTTACTGAAGCTAATGTTTTATCTTTCATTTTTGTTTCGTATCTTATCAATTTCCCACAATTTACCTTATTCGATAAATTCAGTTTAGAGTTTATATACAGAGTGTTTGATTGCATTTTTAATGTTTATGATACTTACCTTTAATAAAAGTTGATAGTCGTTGATGCGTTGTATCGGTAATTTTAAATGTTCGGAGATACTCTTGTCGTCACCAAAGCGTTGCGATAGTTCCTAGAATAAAATAAATTATTTTTAGAAATTGATGTTTGCACTATTTAGTACTGTTTATAAACATCATACAAATTTACATTGCCATTCATTTCTGGGCATGGTAACAGGAACAAAACTTCCAAAACACATATCGTACATCTAGTTCAATACTGCCACAACTCCAAAAATTCCAATTTTGAGTTAAGGCTTTAAAAAGGTTGCATATATGATACCCCATCTAATGCAACACAACCTTAACTGAAATATTGTCTTGGATAAGTATAACGTAAGATGTTTCGGTATTACACTGTAGGGTTTTGAAATGCAATATGGCCATAACTAGGAGATGTGGCGGTAATACACTCCGCCACAATACAACCGATATAATTCAATACGACCACAACTGCAAAAATTGTTAGATTAGTGGTACGATTTTATCAGTTCTAAATTATTTATGGAGAAAAATGTCGTACAAAATGCAGCCAAAAATTCAGCAATGCTGATAGATATGATATACATTCACGTTTCTGGAATTTAAAAGACAACGCTCTTCAAAGTCAATTTGTTGCTTCCCATTTGGAAAAGTTGGTTACTAAATACAGAAAAATGGTTGAAGGCAGTAACCGCGGTACGGTATGAATTTAGCGTATTTTTTAACAATACACGGAGTAAAAGTTAAAGTCCGCAAAAAGTTTTTCATGAACACCTTGGACATTGGTGACAAATTTATTAGAACAACTTAGAGAAAATCAGATGGTAAAGGATCTGTGGACAAGGATAAGAGAGGAAATTTTATGAAACGAGAAACGGTTACTGGACCGGTGAAGAATAAAATAAGAGAACACATAAATTCTGTCCAAAGGGTAGAATCACATTATCTTAAAGCACAAACTACAAAGGAATACATAGATGGTTCACTTACTTTAGCTCAAATGTATCGCTACTACAAACTACAGGAAGAGAGTGAGGGAAGGCCTGTGGCTAAAAAATGCACTTACGAGCACATTTTCAAAACTGAGTTTAACATAACTTTCTTTCAGCCAAAAAAAGATCAGTGCGCAATTTGTGAATCATATAAAAATTCTTCTGCTGAACAGCAAGCTACTCTTCATCAAACTTATAATAAACATATCCATAATACAATTAGAAGCAGAGAAAAAAAAAACACAAGATCTAGCAAGAGCAAAAGATGATTCTCAAGTATTGGTAGCTTGTTTTGATTTACAGGCGACCCTTCCTACACCTTGTGGAGATGTTTCAAGCTTCTACTATAAATGCCGCCTGAACTGCTTCAACTTTACAATTTTTCAGATATTGCAAAAGACTGGTTACTGTTTCTTTTGGCACGAGGCTATTGCTAACAGCGGCTTAAACGAATAGCTACGTGTCTGTTTGATTATCTTTCAAATCATTGTAATGATAAAGACGTTATATTTTATAGCGACAATTGTGTTGGGCAAAATAAAAATAAATTTATAATTACCATGTATCTCTATGCAATTAAAAAAATTAATGTTAAATCAATCACATATAAATTTTTAACAGTGGAACATACCCAAAATGAAGGGGACGCCATGCACGCAACTATTGAGAGCCAAAAGAAGAAAATACTTAAAACAGGTCCCATTTATGTTCCTGCACAAGGGCCTGTCATCATAAGATCTGCAAAAAAAGAGGGAAATCCTTACAATGTAAAAGAAATGTCAACAGAAGACTTTTATGACTTTAAAGATCTCAATTCAAAAATTGGAGGAAATTTTATAAAGAATACAAAAGATGAAAAGGTAGTCTGGAATAATATCCAAATTTTTAAAGTTGTCAAAAGCAATCCTGGATCTTTCTTCTATAAAACAGATTATAATCCCGATGAGTTCGAAGAGGTTCATTTTAAAGCATCGACAAGGGGGCGTTCAGCAACTGTGGAAGCAGTAATCGATTTAAAAAAGGCGTACATAAAGCCTCCATCGATATCCGCAAAAACCAAGCAACACCTTTTGGAACTGTGCAATAAAAACTTAATATTACCTTGTTTGTTTGTTTGTTTATTTAACGGGATGAACCATTTTTCCTTACAAAAATTACAATATACACATACAGGGTGAGTCATGAGGAACTTTACATACTTCTACCATATGTAGAGTCCCTCAGGGAGCATATCATGTGGCCACTAAAAAATGTCAACTCCTCTTCTTTATTAATTAACAGGGTGATTTGTGTAATTGACCATTTATTTCATTTTACTGTAGTGTTTATACGGCTTATTTGATTTTTTTAATTTTTTCATAATACAGTACACTACTATCAAGCATTCGACTGGTATTAGCTAAACTAAAAAATTCCAGGACTGGCTTTGGAAAAATTAATTTAGGGATTCATATTGAATATTACACCCTGTATGTATTTTTTTTTAAATGAAATAAGTGATTTTCAAACTACATAAATAGCCAATGAAAACGACATATGCGACAATGTTGTCGCACTTTTATTAAATTTTTAGTGAACGATCAAATCTTACCAAAAATAGAACAACCATAATGAAGTATCAAATTATAAGGTATTAATTTAAACAAATGTTATAAATGTCAAACATTTAAATTAAAATGAGTTCCTACAACATAATCTAATACGTAGAAAATTAACATCTTTACTGTCACTTTGTATTATCTCTACGATAGAACCAATTGTTTTTCAATTTTAAATTTTTACTCATAGATCGTATTGGGGCATTATTCTCGATAAATAATAAATTAAATTGATTAAAAAGTCAAACCTCTTGTATGTGTTAGTTTTTGTTGATTGTAAATGATTAAAATTTTATGTCAAATAATAATACATTGCATCAACTCTACTAAATAAAAATAAATCTAAAAAAGTTTAAAATGAAGGTTGGCGTTGACCGTTTGATGTTTCTTGATATTTTATACCTATTGTCATTATTGTCATTATCAATTGTTATTTATGTGTACAAGAATACATATTTCTTCTGTCATATCTACGTTAAGTACATTGTGTTAGTTTTGGTAGAGCTTTTGTTACTTTCGTTCAAAATGCCACATCAGTTTTCGACCACAGAATATGCAGACATAATATTTGTTTATGGATTCTGTAATGGGAATGGTAGGGCTGCTAGTAGAGAATATCGATTTCCTAATGGTCGAACTCCCAGTCATCCAACATTTGGGTCAGTTTTTAATTATTTGCGAGAAAATGGCACTTTTCCTAGTGGACCAACAGAGCGACATGTAGATGAAGCGCAGGAAGATGACATTATGGACGCCGTTACTATGAACCCTACAATAAGCACTAGACAAGTAAATCGAGAACTCAATGTTACTCAATCAAAAGTAAGTAGAGTCTTACAAAAAAATAATCTATACCCATATCACATTCAAATGGTTCAGTGTCTACATGCTGGAGATTAGATCGATAGGTTGGAATTTTGTAGATGGATTAACAATAATCGACCAACGCTATACAGGACACTATTTACAGATGAAGCCCAATTTACCAGAGACGGGATAAATAATTCACGAAATTCACATGTGTGGGCAGAAGAAAATCCCCATGTTATTCGAGAACGTCGTTCTCAGTTAAGGTTTTCGGTTAACGTGTGGATTGGTGTCATAAATAACCAATTAGTAAGTCCTCACTTTTTTGATGGTCCTTTAACAGGGCAGGTCTATTTGAACTTTCTACAAAATATTTTGCCGAATTTGCTTGCCAACGCGAACGTTGCTATCCGAGGAATGTATTTCCAGCATGATGGGGCACCCACACACTTTTTACTGGCAGTGAGACAACGTCTCAATAATGTTTATGGCAACAGGTGGATAGGACGTACAGGTCCTATTTCGTGGCCTTCAAGATCCCCTTATTTCAATCCCGTTGATTACCATATTTGGGGACGATTGAAGCAACTAATTTACGCAGTGAATATTAATAACCGACAACAATTAATTGATAGAATTATACATTGTTGTAATACTATTAGAAACGATCCCCAGAGTATCCGTAATTCAATACGTCAATTAACAATTCGGCAACAAAAATGTGTATAGGCTGCAGGGTTCCATTTCGAAAATCTATTTTGAATTATTTTTATTTTGTTACCATTATTGTTTTTTTTCCAGTTCTAATTTATGGATTTATCATAACTATGTACATATTTTTAGTTTTTTTTTAATTGTTCTTCGTTATTGTCAGTAGTTACTGTTTTTTGTTGTGCAGTGACTCAGTTTATCATTTCAAATAAAATGTTTGAAATTTATAACATTTGTTTAAATTAATTACCTTATAATTTGATACTTCATTATGGTTGTTCTATTTTTGGTAGGATTTGATCGTTCACTAAAAATTTAATAAAAGTGCGACAACATTGTCGCATATGTCGTTTTCATTGGCTATTTATGTAGTTTGAAAATCACTTATTTCATTTTAAAAAAATACATACAGGGTGTAATATTCAATATGAATCCCCAAATTAATTTTTCCAAAGCCAGTCCTGGAATTTTTTAGTTTAGCTAATACCAGTCGAATGCTTGATAGTAGTGTACTGTATCATGTAAAAATTAAAAAAATCAAATGAGCCGTATAAACACTACAGTAAAATGAAATAAATGGTCAATTACACAAATCACCCTGTTAATTAATAAAGAAGAGGAGTTGACATTTTTTAGTGGCCACATGATATGCTCCCTGAGGGACTCTACATATGGTAGCAGTATGTAAAGTTCCTCATGACTCACCCTGTATAATTAACATATAAACTGTAGTCATATATTACAATTTTAAAAAGTATTAATAACATTAATGTCTCAATTTCTTTAAACTGTTCTTGAACGAGGACACGGATAAATTAAACAATTCAACACTATCTTGCAAATTATTGGCAGTTCTCAACATCCTTGTGATTGACTCACTTTTACCATAATTAGTGTGATGAAACTTTAGTCTAAACAGGTCAGGAGAGCGTGTTCTTCTAGAATTTACATTAAAAACAATTATTTCCAGCAGTTCCGGAC